TCCTTCCTAAAACTCTACATCTGACTTCTGCGCTACTCACTCGGTGAAACCACGACACATCATGACCTATGCTACGAAGACAATGGTGGTCAAACACCTTAACCCTTCTCATGTCTGCTACCTATGATGACCGTGTTTCACAGCCATACAGTAGAACAGAGCGAACTGCAGTACAGTAAACTCGACCCTTAATCGACAATCGCATAACGCGGTGGCGCCACAGATGGCGTAAGTTGGCAAAAGCTAACCGAGCCTTTTGTATACGTCTGGTAACATAAACTAGTTAGTCTACAGGGAATACAGTGAACTTTCACCGACTAAGGTAGCTTGGACATGTGTTGCGGATGACCAGGCATCGCCTATCTCAAAGTGCAATATTAGCCAAAGTTGAATTAGATTATGGTGGCCTCCTCGAGATGTGACATCAGTTCAAGAAGTCTCTGACTCTTAATTTGGGCCATGTATGGAGGTGTAGACCGACTGGCTTCCTTCATCAAGGTGTTTCCATAATCCATCGTCTTCTGAACCTTCACCATTGTCGCTAACCTTCATTTTTCAATTTCCTTATCCTTTCATACATTTTTCCTGACTTTGATATCAGTCTTTTTCTATCTGCTTGTTGTTACCATATTACTGTGAAATATGACAATTTAAACCAATGCACTGCTATGCGAGGTTCTATGTTGATTTCTTCTGTTTGAAAACAATCAAAATGAGGAGCCTCCTTCATTAAGAAACAAACTGAACAAATAACTATATGGTATATAAATGTAAGTCAATTCAAAAGCTAAAAACCACCAATCACTTATGAAAGATTTGTTAAAATGTTCATTTAATGAGAATGATTTCGTGGACACTACAGATAAAACTATGTAGACATCTTGAAGGGTTGCAACGTTCAGCTGTTAGTAAGTTTGCTGTGAAAAGCTTGTGATGAGTTACATTCGGGGAGATCACTGCTGTTGAGTATCTATCAGCCCCACCGTCAGTGGACTGAATCCCACCTCCAATGCTAAGATATCTACACCTACCACAGAGCATCTGAAAATGTTTTCAGTATGTATCCGAATCGCATACATATGTTAGTTCGTTGCAGTAGATCTATGAAAATGGAAACAATAGTAGTATCCAAAGGTTATGCACCAAAAAACTTTCTGAAAGTTGTTTCACGAGAACCACATAAATTTGTCAACCCTGTATCTGACTCCAGTCTCTATTAAGTTCCCGAAATACTGTCGCTTTTCTTATTGTCCCAAACACTGCTGATCCGGTTTGGTTTGGAAAAGGTCAGGGAAAATGTTCAGGGGTTCTATCTTAGCACATTTAACGAACACAGGGTATAACATAGATGCTAATAAAACTTTCAGTGTCATATATCATGTGCCCAAAACAACCACCACATGTAGCGCGCCAGCACCTGCTCAAAGTAGCTGAGCCTATGGGAATAATGTTTATCAAGACTGAACTGTGCATTCAGAAAAACCACGTCCAGACATTATTCCGTGGAGCTGTTGCTCATTGGTTTAGGCAGTTGACTTCCAGTCAGTAAGCGGGTCACGGGTTCGAACCGAGGTTGTGGACAGCCACGTAGTACTATTAGCTTTTGCACAATATATGTAGCTCATTGCCTACTGCATGAATTTGCACAAGGATGCTCAATGCATTTCCATTCCCAGGCGTTATTCCTCCATTGCTCTACAATGAACTAAAGACCACTTCCATCTTTAATTGTTGTCTTTTCTTTTACCATAAGGTTCTTCATTTGCAAATATGTCATCCTAATATTGAGAAATCTAAAAAACGAAAAATCGATTTCCTTACAGTTTGTAACTCTCATTCCACTCCGAAAATGTATTCGTCTCAAACTTGGCTTGTTTTACGCTGTGCAATTCCATTTTATAATGGATGTAGCTGATGAGACTTTATTGAAAGGAAAATTCTTCGTTCAAATAGTTTTTAATCAATGTTATGGAAGTATTTAGATGTTCAAAATTTGATAAGGTCATCGACAAATATATCAACGAATCCAATATAGACTGCCCGCTACAGCATGGCTGATATTTAATAGAATACAAATTATCATTTGGATGAATATAGAGTATTCTTTTCGATAACTTCTCCTTCAGATCCCACAGTTACATGTATATATTGAGTAATTTTATATCAGCAATACTGATATTTCATTGAACAGTTTGTTTATAGCATGAAACAGATGACAATCTATCACAACGTCTAGCTAAAAGAGTCAATAGGACATTTCATTCAGTACTTCGCCAATGCTCAATCCGAGATCAAAGGATAGCCTACCTAAGCTTATCTCTTCATGTTGAATATATCAATTTAGCTGCTTCTATGAAAATAGTTACATGGGGCTTACGATTAGCCAGATGCATCTGCAGATATGAGAGCATTCACCAGCTTGGTTCAGAAAAGGCAAAGTGAAAGTGATAAAAAGTCCACTTCTAGAGCATCTAGTCAACACAGGGTATCATATAGATGCTAATAAGGCTTTCATAACCATTCATCGTATTACAAAAACGATACCACATATAGCTCACCAATGCCTGCTCAACACAGTGGAGGCCGTTGTATTAAGACTGATCAAGCCTGAACTGTCCATTCAAAAAGAACATCTCCAAGCATTACTTCTCCCCTGTTTTTCAGCAAACTAAAGGCTATCTTATTCATTACCTTTTTGTTCAGTATCGTGTCATTCATCCGTATATATGACATCCCAATAGTAACTAATTTAATAAATATAAATCGATTTCCTAACAACCCCTAGTTCTCACCCCATTATGAAAATGTATTTGTACCTAACTTGACATGATTTCACACTACACAAATGCAACATGAGGTCTAAGAATTTCAGACAAGAAGTCCATATGGTCCCAAAGAAGAGACAGTTTTTGAATATTGGATTCAAGGGAGATATATTGGCAGAGATACTTAAAATCGACTTTGTAAACCATTGAAGAAGGCTTTCTTTCCCTCGAAGCTTCGAAATCTCTTCTCCAGTCAACAACTGATTCCATGGTATGTAAAAGAATAACCCACCACTTTGGGCTGCCTCCATGTGTGTTTACCAATTCACTTGCTCTTGTGAAGCTGATTACATATGACACACAACGAGTGTTCTATGCAAACACATCTCCGAATACTATCTTGTATAGCTGTTTAAATGACAGTGTAAAGCCATCAACAGCCCGATTCTTGAGCATCAGGTTATCTCCGGTCACTGTGTTCCACAACAGTCTTCTTTTGAAGTTGCTTATAAAATAAAGTCAAAAATTTTGAAAGGGGCACCCATTTTCCATCTCAACACATTAGAGACTTAGGGTAGTCCACCTTTACAAGCCTTATCTTTGAGTTCAAAAGAGATACATTCAGTCTATGATTTTGCACTGGTCATAATCTCCCTAAGACAGTTTACGTACTTCTTTGCTTATTTGCTACAATCCTATAAGCAATTTTTGATAACTCTGTATTGACCCTATATATATATATATATATATATATATATATATATATATATATATATATATATATATATATATATATATATATAGTTGTTGTTAATATGATTACGGTATATAGCATTTTAAAATGGTTCGTCGAAAAGAAAATCTTCGCTGAATTGTCCTTTATTAATTTGTGAGTCACGGATGAGGCCAAGTTAGTTGAAGCAGTAAAACTGCTTTTTCCGGACATATAGCTTCGATTGCTTAATCTTGACGGGCTCTGCTTCTGCATGCTGAAGAATTCGGAGCCTATTGTCTTTTGAAAAGTTGATGAGAACCCGGTAAATAACGTAAAGTCATCTATTCATATCCACCCATTGGTTTATCTGAAGTACATGCGTATGATTATATTAAGATAATGCTGCATATCACATAATCTCTTTTCCCTAATCGATTCGCTTTTGAATTCCCTGTATTCTCATAAACGGTATTATTGTTATTACCATTACTATTATTATTATTACTTATCCCTTGCGTTCCTAGTGGAACATAAGGCTTTAGTAACACGTCCCCATTCCACTCTGTTCTCTGCAATCTTTTGAACCTGGCTCCACGACTGCCCAAAAGCTTTCATTTCTCCCTCATATGATCTCAAACACGTCACCCTCGGACGCCCAACTCGTCGTTTCCCATCTGGGTTCCACTCAAGATACCGGCCCGGTGCGTGATTCCGCAATCTGCCTTCTCAGTGTATGCCCAATCCATCTCCACTTCCTTCTGCATATTTGTTGAGCGATAGATCCTTGCTTCTTTGGTTTGTTGCCGGAGTTCCTCCTTGCTTATTCTTTCTGGACATCTGAGCTTCAGTAACGAGTGAGCGTAGGCAGTTGTTGATTAATATCTGCAGTTCGTTGGAAGTGCTTTTCGTAACGCGCCAAGTCTCTGAACCATGCAGAAGCACTCACTTGACGTTGGTGTTGAAAATCCGGATGTTGTTCCACATGCTGAGTGCAGAAGATGTCCACACTGGTTCAAGCTAATGAACGCCTGTCTTGCTCTTCCGATCCTGGCTTTGACGTCGTCGTCCGAGCCACCGCTGCCTAGATAAGTGAAAGAGACTACTTCCTTTAAGTTTCTCCCATTGATGGAGATTGCAGCTTGTTGTTGTTGATGATGATGATTGGGTATTTTCATCACCTCTGTCTTCTCTACGTTCACTTGAAGTCCCGTCTTCGCTGCCTCTTCTGTCAACTTGTTAGTTTTTGCCTGTAGATCTTCGAGTTTGTGCGACATCAGACACAGTATGGCTAACTTTTATTATTAGACACTAGAGCATTCTGACAATAGGTACACACAATCAGCTGATTAGTATTGATCGATATGTCATAATTGACTGATTCATTTTTAAACTATGATCGATTTTTTGATTAAAGGTATATCTATTCAAGGGAATACAATAATGAAAACATACTAAACTTTTAACAGATGGATAAATAAACTTTTAAGAAGTGGGTAACAGTGATACTAATAATAACCCCAATGAGTACTATGACTGAAAATATCTCTAGGAGTACTTATGGTTCATTACCGAAAGCAGATATTACAAGTCCAGTAAATTTAATAGAATCATGTTTAGATAGTATTGCAAATGATATGACTAAGAAAGTAACCAACCTAACTGACTGGGAAGAAGACAGTTTTATAAATGATAAAATCAACGCGAAAAAACTGAATAAACTACGAAAACCTAAATTTATATCATCATGTGGTGTACTATCATGTTTCAGAAGTAAAAATTATGTAAAAAGTTTGTATAGAAAGATTTCAAATACTTTTGAATCATATATATCAACTTCAACCTCACAAACTTCACCATATCTTACCCATAAAGTCAATAAACTATCACCAATGGTTGAAAAAAATGTCATGAAACCAAAATCATCATTACTTAATAAAGAAAGAAGCCTATCTTCGTTCTCAGTGGATAATTTCGAACAAAAGGGTAATTTTAACACTCTACATTATAAAACAAATCATACCTTATTTCATCAAGAATTGAATTACATCTCACCATTGATAAGTGAAACACCTGAGAATATGTTTCATCAATCAGATCTAATACCTGATCATTCCAGTGCTACGCAGACGTATTCATTAGTAACTCAACAATCAATATCACAGCAGCAGCAGCAGCAACAACAACCTTTCAAGATTAACCTTATGGAAGAGAAACGTTGTAACAGTAGACTCCTTAGGCATTTCACTGAAACACTTGAACAAAACCACAATATCGATGTCGGTAGTAAACATGATAAAAGCTTAAGTTGCCTGAAAATGGATGATTATGTTGATGGTGACGAAGTAAATCATATCAGAGGATCTTCAAAACAAGTATTACAACACTATAATGATAATATTGATGGTAACCAAAATGAGAATACAAAGAATGAAGAGTCATCAGTCGATAATTATCGATCTATGCATCATTTCACTGAATCACGTCTACATAAACTAGTTGAGACAATATTTTCCTATGAAAATTCCTTTCATATTACACCTAAACTAGACTTTAGCAATAATCATGAACAATTTGGTTCAAGACTTAGTTGTTCGATGAAAAGTTATAGCACAGAACGTCAGCAAGAGAATCAGGAAAATAAAGATTCTTATCAAATTCAAAATTTTGACAAAGACATTAAACATTGGTTGGTGGAGGGTTTAACGAAATCAGTTAAAGAATCAAACGATCATAAAAATCATACTGACAATCATCAGCCTAAAGAATTTTTACAGCTGAATATCAAAACAAACTCGCATGGACTAAAACAAGCGGTAGATGTTAAGTGTGCAACAACTTCAAACGATAGAATCGCCAACCGCACATTTGATCATTCACTTCAACCAAATACCACTAGTACGATTACAGCAAAACAAAGTTATCGAACAACAAAAGAGCCTCAGAATAAGCCCAAAACAAGCGAACAGAAGCCAACCTATCAAAACTCTACTTATTCATCTAGAGGTTTAAAGACCACGTTGCATTCAAATCTTCTGGGATACTCGTATCTTGCGACGGGTGAATCAAATTCGCATTCTACACCACCACTGACTCCATCTAGAAGAACAAATAAAACCTTAACAGTTAAGTATAACGGTTATTTCCCTGTAAGGTCAGAATATAATAAATACCAAGTATACAAAACACCTGAGTCTAACTGTACACCATATGAAGCATGTGATTCAACAAAGAAAGACGGGAAATGTAAAACATTTATCCAAAGTGGCAGACATAATAATTTGGGAGTAGAAAGATATTCCACACCCTTTGGAGGAAAGAAACAACCCCAACAGAAGTTAAGAGGAACCAAGTCGAACCAAAATTCCAAGCATAGGCTAACTGATAGAAACTATAAATCAGTGAAAAAAAGTACAAAGTTATGCAGAAGTTCACCATTACAAAATTTGGACAAGTTTCGAACACATTCGGAGAATTCAACACCATGTTCATCAGTGAATACACATGATTTACTTCAACTCGCTGATGTTTCTGATACATTTGATATCAGAGATATCAAGAAATATGTATATGATGAATCTTTAAGTGGAGGTCATCATGACGACGGTCATAGGAATGTTGGTCATTTTACAAACATATCAGAAGCTAGTGGTAATGGATGCATAGGTTTTCCGCTTATTGATCAAACATATGATCAGGATAATTATCCCCTTGGCTGTTCTGTGTATCCAGAAATAAATAATATGCCTTATGTACATTCTGGCTATTACCCATGTATACCACCTCCTGCACAACCTACCTTACTACTAGGTAACATAAACCCAACATTGAGTAATAACCTTAATCAAGAACTAGTATTGCCTTTCCTGACATCACCGCTGTTTAATACACCATCATCAGTCAACTGGACAAATTTAAGTACTACGGTGAATCCGTACAAATATGATAAGAATACATATTTTTACCCTGTATATCCTTATTACTATCCTGTGGAACAATTTTCGGCAGCTAGACATCTTTATTTTCCTGTTCAACCTTACCAGTCACTTAATACTACAAATCATAATTCCCATTCAGCATCAAAGCAAAGGGAAATAAGTAATGCTCACAAAACAAGTGACTATCGTAAAAGAAACAAAGCATAACTTCGTTTTTCGGGCGAAGAATCCTTTCAGTCGTTCATTTTTAAGAAACTAAATAACTGACAATTTGTTAAACAAAAGCTGACAGCTTTCATTATTTTAAAGAAATCCTGTAAACCTATGAACTCTTGATTTTCAGAAAGTTCTGTGCTATCTCTACTGACCATTTGTGCACATGAGATATATCCTTTTTTATCTTTATTTATACCTGCAGACTTCACCAAGTTCCTTGAAGATTTCATGATTTTTCACTGTCAGTCCATTTAATATTAAATAACAACAAGAATCCGTTTAACCCTTATAGGCTAATACAATTTTCATCCATTCAGACCCCTTGATAAACTCTGACCAATTAGGAAGGAAGAAATTTGCAGAATAAAATGATATCAACATTTCATTTAATAAACTTCCTTCAGCTGCATGCAGTCCAAAGGTACAACGGTCACTGGGACATAAGATATTTCAAAGTTAAGAGGTCAATAATCTTTAGTTTTACAACAAAACTATTGACAATCTATATAGCGTTTAAGAGAATTAATTGCACAGATGGCTGAGAAATCTAGGAAATGGAAAATAATAGTAAACAAACAAATAAATAGAGTCATGTTATTAAAGTGAAAGTGAAACAGGATCAAATCGTATTCACCAAAGGAGTGAGAAGTTAACTATACTCTCCTTCTGTATGCAAAGGTCAGGTTGAAAGCGTTTTATTGCAGTCGCTTCGATGAAATGCAGTAATGTAGACATTTTCTGTACGTTAATTATTATTTTGGAAGTACTCGACGTTTTAACCTAATATCCTGAGTCTACGATGTGTATGGCAATGTCACTGGTTAGAATTAATTCTACTTTCTCCCAAGCACAGATTCTTGAGAATATGCTCAGCGAACTGAATGGAAGCTCTCCTCTCAGTCCTTCCAGTTAAACTGCTACCATAAGCGTTTATTCGATTGGATACTGCACCTCTCTTGAATGTAGAATGTATAGAAACCTTCTTCTTTCTCACAGTTGGTTGTTTATCTCTCACATTTTATTCTTCTCCATACTCTATGATAAATCTCTTAGGATAACCATTCTCAAGGTGACGCTTGTTCTAGCTTGTCCCCAGGATATAATTTCCTAGCTCTGTTGTAAAGTTTTTTTGACTAACTCCGTGCTCTTGTAGCTGGTAACATAGAATCTCTTATGGTTAAGAAATCGTTGTCTGAAATGATATGACATGCAACTGAGTAGTTTGATAAGCTAAGTGAGTCTCTTCCTAACATTAAACTTATGATTAAGTATGAGCATGAAAACGACTTCAGTTTTTTGGACCTCAACGTAAGACTGACTAAACCGTCCATAAAAAAGACAAATGAACCGAGAAATATGTTAGCAATAAAAGCTACTGTCTTGCTAGTTATTAGCCCAGGGGATTAATCAAAACACTTTACATCACAGCTAGGAAATTATATCCTGAGGACAAGTTAGGGGAAAAACTAAACATTATCGAGAAGTGTCTACCAGAGAATGAATAACCTAAGAGATTTATCATAGAGTATAGAGAAGAATAAAATGTGAGAGATAAACAACCAACTGTGAGAAAGAAGAAGGTTTCTATACATTCTACATTCAAGAGAGGTGCAGTATCCAATCGAATAAACGCTTATGGTAGCAGTTTAACTGGAAGGACTGAGAGGAGAGCTTCCATTCAGTTCGCTGAGCATATTCTCAAGAATCTGTGCTTGGGAGAAAGTAGAATTAATTCTAACCAGTGACATTGCCATACACATCGTAGACTCAGGATATTAGGTTAAAACGTCGAGTACTTCCAAAATAATAATTAACGTACAGAAAATGTCTACATTACTGCATTTCATCGAAGCGACTGCAATAAAACGCTTTCAACCTGACCTTTGCATACAGAAGGAGAGTATAGTTAACTTCTCACTCCTTTGGTGAATACGATTTGATCCTGTTTCACTTTCACTTTAATAACATGACTCTATTTATTTGTTTGTTTACTATTATTTTCCATTTCCTAGATTTCTCAGCCATCTGTGCAATTAATTCTCTTAAACACTATACAGATTATCAATGGTTTTCAAGTTCTTATTCATCGTAGACTGACAACAGTTGGAGGAACAAAGGAAACGTGGGAGCACTGGGCCCCTGTTTCATCCTAGTATGGGACTCCTCAGCAGTGCGCACCCACGACCCTGCACTAACGGGGATCAAACTCGTGGCCTTCGGGTTCGGCTGCCAGCGCGTTACCACTGAGCTAGCCACTGGGTCAGAATCTAATGCTTCATATTTCCAACTTCTGTTAGCTCACGATATAGCGCAACCGCCAGTGGCTCAATGGTAACGTGCTGGCCGCAGACCCTGAAGGTCACGGGTTCGATCCCCGTTAGTGCAAGGATCGTGGGTGCGCACTGCTGAGGAGTCCCATACTAGGACGGAACAGCTGCCTAGTGCTCCCAGGTTTCCTTTGTTCCTCCAACTGATGTCAGTCTACGATGAATAACAACTTGAAATATTTCCAAATCTCCACAACTCCCTCAAAAATATCAATGGTTTTGTTGTAAAACTAAAGATTATTGACCTCTTAACTTTGAAATATCTTATGTCCCAGTGACCGTTGTACCTTTGGACTGCATACAGCTGAAGGAAGTTTATTAAATGAAATGCTGATACCACTTTATTTTGCAAATTTCATCTTTTAAGCTACATTCGCATACAATTTCCTTTAATGCTTCAATAACTTTCAATGCTTTAGCTTTATTGTTTTTGTTATTTATAGATTCATTGCAGATTTCGTTTGATGGTCTACCTTCGTTTCCCTTTTAAGCCGTTTCCACTGACTGTTTGTTGTTTATTTTCAAACTTTACCTTGATATTCCTATTATCATACAATAATTTGTTTGTGTATGCTGAAAAAATAATATCAGATTTGTAGTGTGCTAGATGTTGTTATGCTACACAATTTGGGATTTTTTATCTACTTAGGGATGAACTAATTCTGCAGTTACACATATTTTGTGCTAAATCTTCAGGAGCTCTACTATTATAAAAGAAATAAAAGGCATTTATATATTATCATCACCCCAGAACATTCCACACAGTGCTTCATCTTTGTTCAGATTATCAGAATAATTGAGAATTCAGCAATTTTATGTTCTTTTTCTCTTCTGATATACGAAAACGTCTTTTATATATTGTACTAACGCACCTGGTTGGTAAAGTTAGCAAATGGAAGGAAAGCCATTTATTGATCTTGTAATAGGCTTCCGCTCTTGTATATATGCATGTTTAAATAAATTGGATATCAACACTATGGTGCAATAGCTCCGCCCGCTGCAAAAAAGGATGGCAGCATATTTCACCGATCACAGTTTGACTAAGTTTTATGCACAATTATAGGCTTATGAACAAGCTTGTGAAATTATATGTAGCTTATGGCATCGGAAAAGATAACAAATGAACAGCTTTTAGTATGACTTTCTTTTTCACCAAAATCAGAGTTTACAAAACGCCTGCAAAAAATCGTTTCCTTACCAACTGATATCAGTTGTTAAGGAAAGACAGTTGTCTTCAGTGTTTTAAGCATTATTTCATTGAAAGCGTTACTTATGGCTACACTATGAAAGCTAAGGTGTTCAGTTAATTAGAATTTGAGCAACCTGAAAGTTTTCTGCAAATTAATCGTTTTATAAGGCTGAAAAACGAAATGCCTCGCAAACATGTGTCACGAAATCTCATGGGATCTTCAAAATTGTTATCGATCCAATATCCAATATTGATAGTGCGAGCGTAGAAAACTGGTAGTTTTTGATCTCTCGCGTCTAGTTCTTAGGGCTTGGTTCCAGTTGTTCGGTTCACTCCTGCAGTGGACGAGGAAATCCCCTCTGCTTTCTTGCTTTTAGCTTCGGTGAGGTGGATGTTTTGTGGGTTAGTAGGTTGTAATTTGTAGAGTGATTAGGGAGCTACGGGTTGCTGGTAAGTTTAGAGAACTGCCATGACTCCTGTCTGTGTAGGTACCTGAAAGAGAATAGTGAGGTAGTGGTAAAAGAATGGAGAAGAAAAAAGAAAATAGAGGAAGAGAAAAAGGAAAAGCAAGGACGGAAAAGAAGAGGGAGAGAAAAGCATGTTGGAATTGCCTGAGTAGTAGCGTGGATTTAGTTCCTACAGAAACATTTGTGGGTAATCTGAGCGTATTAAGTGGCGAGATACTGAGTGGTAGGTAGGAGGGAGTTGGGGTGGGCTAGTGAGGTTGGTGACCACCTGGGTACGCCCGTGGTAGACCATGAGAGGTGACATAACTGTATGACCGTCTCTTGAGTGAGTCGACTGAGGGAGCTATAGCGATATGTCGCGGTAAGGCACTCCATAAGGGACATACTCTTCGGGAGAAAAAATTGGACTTGAGCGTGGTGTTGGCCCTCTGGTGTGCTATCTGAATGGGGTTTCCTCATGAAGACCGCTGAGTTGCAGGCAAAACTGATTTGTTTGCATGGTCTGCCTGATGGGCTATCTTGTATGCCATAATAAGGTCACCACTCCTCCTACGATAACCGGAGGTAAATAGGTTTAGGTGTTTAAGTCCTTCAGGATACGTCTTTCTCCTTAGCCCCGCAACTAATTTTATTGCTGCTCTTTGTGTTTTTCAAGGAGATTAGAGTTTCTCTTGGGTGTTGGGGGGAGGGGCACCGTATTGAAGACCTTTAGATGCGGCCCCACGTGGGATTTGAAAATGTTGAGGAAGAGTTCGAGGGTGAGGGCAGAAAGTGCAGAATGGCGTTCGCTCTGGTTGTCATACCTCTGTAGTTGGAGATGGTGTTGAAGGTGTCAGATAAGTTGGGCCCCAAATATTTCCCCATGGACACTCTGGTGATAGCACGGTTGCCCAACATGTACTGGAAGTCGATCGTGCTTGCCTCACATATACTGATGTGCATTACTTTACACTTTTGCAGGTCGAAGCTCAGGCCATTTTCCGACGACTGGAGTTCGAGCTGCCGCAA